CCCCCGCTCTGCCCGCCGCCGCCCCCCGCCGCTGTCTCGCCTTCAGCCACGAACGTCACGTTGCCCTGGGACCCCCGGGACGCACCATTGGAGGATGGATGTGGATGGATGTGGATGTCCCCACGCCACCCTGGCCAGGGGCCCTGGCTGGGATGCACTGAGCAGTGCTGGGCTGTACTGGTTTGTATCAGGCTGTACTGCTAGCTGGTGCTAGCTGGGATGGGCCGGGATAGGATGGGACGGATGGAATGGGATTGGATGGGATGGCACAGGATGGGACAGGACAGGATGGGACGGGAGGGGAAGGGATGGGATGGGTGAGACAGACAGAATGGGATGAGATGAGATGGGATAGGATGGGACAGATGGGATGGGACAGGTTAGGGTGGGACTGGATGGGACTGGATGGGACAGATGGGATGGGATGGGACAGCAGGGATGGGACAGGACAGAACGGGACAGGAGAGGATGGGATGGGGGATGGGATGGATGGGACAGACAGGATAGGATGAGATGGGATGGGATGGGACTGGATGGGACAGATGGGATGGGACAGATGGGATGGGTTGGGTCAGATGGGATGGGACGGGATAGGATGGGACTAGATGGGATGGGATGGAATGGGACAGGACTGGATGGGACTGGATGGGACTGGATGACATGGGACGGGATGAGATGAGACAGGATAGGATGGGATGGGACAGGACTGGACAGGATGGGACGAGATGGGATGGGATGGCACAGGATGCACTTCACCAGGTGCAGGATGGCAGCGAGGATCTTGTACACGGAGCTGATCTCCTCTGGGGTGAAGCCGATCACTGCCATGGCGTCCTCCACTGCCTTGTAGCTGGCTGCGTCATCACCCCCAGCCTGGGGATGGAGGGGGCCAGAGTGGCACAAGGAGGTCAGGGTGCCTGGGGACCCCACTTGCCCCCTGCTCCGGCACTCAGCGGGGCTGAGCCCCAGCACATTCATCACCCGCTGCGTGGCACAGTGTCACAGCACCCCCCGGCCGATGCCCCGATGCTGTGGCCACTCACGCTGCTGGTGGTGCCCTCCTGGGTGTAGCGGTAGGCCCCGGGGTCGCGGCAGAGGTGCAGCGAGGCCAACAGCGATTCAGGGGCTCCCCGCAGCAGCTGAGGGGAAGGGGTGGTCATGGGGCTCCGTCACTCCCCCCAAGTCCCGCAGCCGGGGACGAGGCAGACCCCTGCCTTCGTCCCACCCTGCCCGGTGTCCCCCGACCTGGCCCAGCCTGTCTGGACCCAGCTGGTTCCATCACAGCCTGTCCTGTCCCGTCCCACCACATTCTGTCCCATCCCATCCCATCCCATCCTGTCCTGTCCCCTCCCACCACATCCTATCTCATCCCATCCATCCCCATCCCAGCCTGTCCCCATCCTGTCCTTCCCTTTTGGACCCTAGCACATGCTTCTACCAGCCTATCCCCATCCAGTCCTGTCCTGTCCCATCCCATCTCATCCCATCCTGTCCCATCTCACCCTGCTCTGTCCCATCCCATCTCATCCTGTCCTATCCCATCCTGCCCTATCCCATCCTGTCCCGTCCCGTCCTGCGTCATCCCATCCCATGCCATCCAGGCCCATCTGTCCCATCACACCCCACCCCCTCCCATCTTATCTGTCCACATCCCATCCCATCTGTTCCCATCCCATCCCATCCCATCCCATCCGTCCCCATCCTGTCCCGTCCTGCCTGGCTCACCTGGTAGAAGGAGTGGAAGTTCCTCTCTCCTGGCTGCTGCTGGAGGATGCGGGACTGGAAGAAGGAGCAGGGAGTGGGTGCTGGGCAGTGCCACAGCTGCTGTGCTGGTGGCACCCATTCGCCTGCCCCTCATGGCGCCCCATGCTCGCACCTTCTCTAGGAGGTATTTGTGGATGTGGCCGCCTGTAGGGTCACCCTTGAAGTCAAAGTTGATGTCCATGTACTTGCCAAAGCGGCTCGAGTTGTCGTTGCGGTTGGTCTTGGCATTGCCAAAGGCCTCCAGGACACAGTTGGACTTCAGCAGCACGTTCTTCACCCTGCATGGCCCAGCATGGCGCTGCATGGTGCGGCACGGCAGGGCCACGGGGCGCTGCCACCCCAATGGACACAGGATACAGCATCCCAGGGGCCCCTGCACCACCCCTATGGGCATGGGGCACTCCAGGGACCCTGCATCACCCCAAAGGCACGGGGCACCAGGGACCCCACATCACCATCCCTATGGGCATGGGGCACGGGACCCTTCCTCTGCTGGCAGGGCAGCAGCCCTCAGGGACCCCTGCCACCCCTATGGGCATGGGGCACTCCAGGGACCCTGCATCACCCCAAAGGCACGGGGCACCAGGGACCCCACATCACCATCCCTATGGGCATGGGGCACCCCAGGACTCCTTGCACCCTGCCATGGAGCACCCTAGGGACCCTGCATCACCCCAAAGGCATGGGGCACCAGGGACCCCACATCACCATCCCTATGGGCATGGAGCACCCCAGGGACCCCTGCCCC